GAAGTTCCATGCCACATAATCCCTCATATTCGGTCCACCTATCACAATCTGCTTTATATCCTCCGCATCCCCAGGAGTAAACATCCTTTCCACCTTGGCCATGTCCCATGCAACACCGGATTCATTCAGGAGGTGGCGCACATGAGTGATCCCTGTAATATACTGCTGCCCAAGTGGCTTGAGGCTTCCCTGGCACGGGAGCCAGTTATCATGGTGGATTTTAATCGATGTGCCATCACCAATCCTCCACACTAGTCCCTCACGCAATAGCTCCCGACCATGAATAATACTTCTGAAAGTGAACGAGCCGCCGACAGGGCAGGTGGCATTCAAGATTGATCCATGGGGGAAATACCTTGCCTTGAGCACTCTAGCACACAAAGAATCTGGGTAATGCAGCACGCGCCAGGCTTGTTTGGCTAGCAGAGCTTGGTTAAAAGCTGTTGGATCCCGAAAGCCCATTCCCCCTTCTTTCTTTGCCCTACACATCTTCTTCCATGCAAGCCAGTGCACCTTCCTCTCCCCATTTGCTTCTCCCCACCAGAAGTTAGACGATATAGAAGTCAGGTTCCGACACATTTTCTTGGTGAGTTGGAAGCAGCTCATGGTGAGCGTTGGTGTGGCTTGGAGTCCCGACTTGACTAGGACCTCCCTTGCCGCTTTTGACAGCCCTTGCCCTTTCCATCCTGTTACTTTCCCCGCAGAGCTCTCTTTTAACATATTTAAACGTCCCCTCTTTGGACTTACCAACCAGTGTTGGTAGTCCTAGGTACCTTTCACTCAAAGCTTCAGAGTTGATACCAATCACTCCAAGTAATTCAGCCTTACTTGCATCTCTACATCCTTTACCAAAGAACACCTACGACTTTTGAAGATTTACCTTTTGTCCTGAGGCTTCCTCATAAACTCGAAGAATGTACCTCAACGCCTCAAAATTGCCACGGTTCCCCTCCAGAAAGACAATGTTGTCATCCGCGAAAAGAAGGTGAGTGACATGGGGGCCAGTGCTCCCGAACGACACCCCCTTGATATTATTCTCATTCTGTGCAGCCCTTAGTAGAGCAAAAAAACCCTCCACACAAAACAGGAAAAGATATGGTGAAAGAGGATCACCCTGTCATAGTCCTCTGGATGGGAGGAAAGGTCTCGAGAAGCCACCATTAAGTTTCACAGAAAAACGAGCTGAGGTGACACATCGCATAATCATCTGGACCCACCTTTGGTCAAAACCAAATCTAAACAACATATGCTCTAGGAAGATCCATTCAACTCGATCATACGCCTTCATCATATCTAGCTTCACTGCACACAACGGAGTCTTCCTCCTCCTCGTTCTAATGGCATGGGTGCACTGATAGGCCACTAAAACATTATCCATCATGAGCCTCCCCGGTACAAAGGCGCTCTGTTCCTCAGAAATCAACACCGGTAAGATCCTCTTGAGCCTATTAGCCAAAACTTTAGTGGCAATCTTATAAAGCACATTACACAAGCTTATTGGCCGAAACTGAGACATCAGCTCCGGTGAGCTCACTTTCGGTATCATCACTATCACGGTGTCATTAAACGAATCCGGAGTAGCTTCCCCTGATAGGAATCCCCTAACTGCTACACACACGTCCTCTTTTAACAGAGACCAGTGTCTCTGATAAAACAAGGCAGGTAGGCCCTCCGGTCCGGGAGCTTTCGTAGGCCCCATTTGAAATAGTGCCCGCTCAATCTCATCATCTGAAATAGGAGCCGTCAGCTTAGCATTCATCTCCTCAGAAATGACAGGGTGAAAAAGATCTAGTAGCCTCTCTGGCTGGGTGGATCCCTCCGATGCGAATAGATGCTCATAGAATGAAGCCGCCAGCTCCCGCATGCCATCATCATCCGTACACCTCGTACCATTCTCCTGCCTCAACGCCTTCACCGTGTTCTTTCGCTTCCGATGGGAGGCCTGGTTCTGAAAGTATTGGGTATTCCGGTCCCCCGCCTTGAGCCAGTCTACACGTGAGCATTGTTTCTGCATAATCTCCTCCCTCTCATAAACTTCCTTTAGCTGACCCTCAATATCACGCACTTCCGTCGTTAGTCCAGTGACTAGGGCGCGCTCTTTTGCATCCAGCAAGTCTGTTTTTAGCCTTTGGATTTGCCTCCTAACTGACCCAAAGACCGTGCGCCCCCATCCTCGCAGCGACTTTGTTATTTCATGTAGCCTGCAGCACACCGCTTCGGGAGACTGGTTTTGCCCCCGCACATGCTCCCAAGTCTGCTGCATCATCGCCTCGTAGCCCTCGTGCCGCAGCCACATTTCCTCGAACCGAAAGGGGCGGTCCCCCCTTGGTTGCATTGTCTCCATATCCCTAACTCGCACCAGGATTACCATGTGATCAGATTCCTCCGTGAGAATGTTCTCCACGGCCGTGCCTGGAAACAAACCCATAAAATCACCGGTGCAGGTTGCCCTATCCAGCCTGACTTGTACATTGTCCTGGTTTGCTTGTTTGTAAACTGATAGCCCGAGAAGCCCAAGTCCGCCAAACCGCAATCAGCTAGGCAGTCACTGAACGCTTGCATTTGTGCAAAACTCCTCGGGTTGCCGCCACTTTGTTCTGATCTTACAAGAACTTCATTAAAGTCCCCCACACATAGCCATGGTAGCTCATCCTGGGACCTTAGATATCGAATCGCATCCCAAGTCTTCTTCCTCAACTCCGTTTTGGGCTCCCGTAGATTCCAGTGAATCTCCAAGTATGCCCATCTGAGGTAATCTTAGCATCAATAAAGTACTGGCACCATGGCCTGATAGTGACCTGTATATGCTCTCTCCACCATAATGCAAGCCCTCCACTCTTCCCATTACAATCCACAGCCACTCCGCTTCTAAACGCAAGTCTCCACTTCAATCTCTCCATAGCCTTCGCACTCTTTTTTGTTTCTGATAAGAAAACCACCGCTGGGTTGTGTGACCGTATGAGGTCCCGAAGTTCGCCTACTATCAAGTCCAACCCCGGTCCTCGACAGTTCCAGGCCAAGCAATTCATTAGTCCCGGTGGCCCCGCCCTGCGGGGACCGCCGATGCCTTAGGGTCTTCCACACGATCAAAAACAGAAGGTGTCTTCTGCCTCGTCTCTCTGATGAACGTATCATGATGAATCATTCTATCCGGGTCACCTTTGGCTACCCACACCTGTTTTGGAGGACGCTTTCTTCCTGACTCCTTCTCTCTATAATGTGTGAGCCTCTCTCCATTTCACCCTGGTACCTTGGCCTGTGGATATATCTACCTCGAATCCTGTCACTCTGACCTGGCGAAACACGGCTGAAGAAATCATCGCGACCCGCCCGGTCAAGCCGATCATCTGCATGGGAAGTCGAATGGTGCCTCACCTCCGCCCCACGATCTGCATGGCTGTCCGCCTCGCGATACGCGCCTGTATGGCGCCAGGCCCCATCTGTAGCCGGCCCGCGCTGCCCCACGTCCAGTTTTGCTGTTGCATGGCCCTGTTCCCTGCGTGGGGAACCACTCCTCCCCTCTTCTTGTCGTCTAGTTAATTCAGCCCTTAGCTCTTTTTCTTTTTTCTGCTCCAACTTCCTTCTCAGGTTACTGTTGTGCATATCCTCCATGTGTGAAGCTCTCTTTGTTGGGCTATTCACCTCCCTCTGCTCCTTCAGCGTTACTCCACCAGTGCGAGAGTTTGCCGATTGTGAAAATGTCTCGTTTAAGTTCCTTTTAACAGGTTGTTCCCGAGCAGGAGTTTGACTGTACTGCGATTTATCCTTGTCATCAGAACGTGAGCCCCCACTGGTAAAAGAACTGGACGCCCCAACATGTGAATTCTCCTTCAGCGATGAAGAGCCTCTTCCTGGTGAAGCTCTAAGCCAGAGGCCCCATTGACTTGAGCGATCCACTGGTGGCTCACACCCGCCCTTGCCATGCACAAGTCTACCACAATCAAAGCAAAAGTGCGGGATCTTTTCATAGGTAAAATCATACCACGTCCCCTCCAAGTCCTCCAGTGAGGTCCTTAGCCGGGCACGGCGGATCAAGGGCTCAAAGATCGAGATTTTCGCCCGCACTCTAAGATACTTCCCTTTAGCAAAACCATCCTTCTCAACATCTACCTTAACTACTTCTCCCAACCAATCTCCCAAAGCTTTCCCAAATGATTCCGTCCTCATATCTAACGACAGATCTGGGACTCTCACCCACATCTCCACCGTATCAAAGACCATCTCCGAAGGACGAACATCTCCCACATAATCCTTTAACACGAGCACATGGAAATCAAATTGCCACGGGCCATTATTGAGTGCATGACGCCAATCACCTTCGCTGCCAAACCTCACCTCAAAGATGTTATTCCCGATATCCTTAAACTTTGCCTCCTTATGCAATCCCCACACTCGTGGCATCGCCCTTTCCAGTGCAGTTTTGTTCAGAGGCCTTGGTGAGAAAACTTTTCCCACCGCCGACCACTTCACCGTCTTCGCTTGGATACCTGGATCTGAGAAGATGAATCCTTGTCGCTCTTTGTCCGTCAGAACCAGTCCTCCAAAGCTCTCCGAGAGGCTGGCGGCCTCCGCCGTAGTCTTGCCATCAGCCAGGGACGCCGAAGCACCCCGGGCCGTTGAATCCCCTGCTGCCGCCGGCGCAGACGCCGTCGTCATATGCTTGCGGGGGGTGGCCTCCCGACTCGCCGTGGTCTCCCCTCTGATCCCGTTCGCCGCCATGGCCACACCACGCGAGCGCTCCTGAAAACCCTCACCGATCTACCATGGGAACAGCGCCGTCGCCGTTCGAGCAGTCACCGGAGATCCAATCTCACCCCCGTGTGGAAAAACCTAACCCTAGCGGCGGCCTAGCAATCGCCTCGCGATCGCCTTCCCCGTCGCCCTTAGGTATTCCTGACGTGGTGGACCCTCGCTAGAGCCACATGTTGGCCGTGCTACCCCAGTAGCGCCACGCGCGTTGGCTTGCACAATCTAAAAAAAAACTAAGCTCTTCGATCTGTTCACAACTTGGTCTTGAACGGCACATAGTTTTTGAGCGATTGGGTGATCCCCTGCACGGACGCCACAGTCACGCCCACCGTCACCGCGAAACACACGAAGCTCGGGCTCTGCAGCGCCACCCACTTCCACGAGGACCTCTTCACTTTGCTCTGCCGGATGTACATCTCCACGGGCAAGTACACAGTGAGCGGCCAGAACCCGAGCGCGCCGAGGAGGCCAAGGATGTCGTTGAAGAAGGGCAGCAAGATGGCAAGTACTGTGCTCACGACGACGAACGCCGTCCTCCACGCCAGCCTGAACATGTTGATGCTGAACTTGCCGGCACCGAAGGGATGGTACCGGCGGACGACGAAGTCCGATTCCGGCCACCGTGCCGCGGCCCAGCTCTCCACGGCCGCGTAGATGGGCTGGCAGTAGACCTGGTAGGCGCCGACGAGGTGCACGACGATGCAGACGTTGGCGAAGTTAAGCCAGAAGGGCTCGTAGAAGCCGAAGCCGGTGAGCATGTTCCCGGGCGCCGCGTTGCCGAAGGCGGCGTAGCCCAGGCAGCCGCAGAGCATGTAGAAGGCCGTGGTGGTGGAGACCCCCATGAGGTTCGCCTTCCTCATCGTCTTGTTCTCGGCCGGAGGCGCCTTCACCGTGTCCTGGATTTCTATGAGGACCATGGAGTACGAGTAGGCGAATGCGATGTTGCCGAGCGCTTGCAGTGTCAGCCATATCTTCTGCGCCGAACTTGCAACGTCTACCCCAATGGCAGTGCCACCCATGGTCGTCTAGCCGGTAGGGCCTGATATGGTCTGCGCCAAGGAGAGGCCAACGCCGATGGTGGAGTAGGAGAAGGACATGACCGCGGCGAGGATCGACAGCCACGCCATCTGGTGGAGGTTGGGGAGCTGGGAGAAGACGACCTGGGAGACCCCGAACACGACCATGTACATGGTGGTGTACACGCCGCAGTCGGCGGAGTGGCCGCCGTTGTGGAAGCAGTTGGCCTTGTACAGAGCCGCGGCGCTGGTCGACGCCGTGATGGTGTACCCGATCGCGGTTCCGACGAGGTTGACGTACTGGCAGAGGCCGCAGAACCACACTTGGCCGCTGCCTAGGTAGGACTCGACGGCCTCCATGTAGGTGTAGTTCCTCTTCCCGGCGACGGCGTCCCCGCTGCGGTAGCAGTCGGTGAGGAGCACGGAGGTGTAGTACGCGACGCCGGCGAAGACGACGAGCGTGGCCGGCCCGGCGACCCAGCCGAGCTGCGCCATGGACCAGGGCAGGGACAGCACGCCGGAGCCGATCACCGCCGTTATGATGTGCGCGCTCGCCGTCCATACCGTTCCCGTTCTCTTGGGCTTGCCGTCGTCGTCGACGGAACCGTCGCCGATGATCCGCAGACGGTGCTCCGCCGGCAGTCCCCCGATCTCGACATCGACGTCTGCTAGGGCCATCTCGCGCGCTTCAACCGGTCTGGGGGAGCAGCGATGCGCGCACCGGGCAGCATCTTATAACAGCAGGATGATTACTCCGTGTTCCGTCTTCGGTCGATCAAATTGCCTAAACCGACTCGGATCGGATTTGATTTGTTCCCGGGCCTCAGCTTCTTAACTCTGAAGCACGCAACTGCCCTCGACGGCGGTGGTCGGCTGCACGCAGTTACATGTCCATGTGACACATACGTAACCTGTCCTTTTTCCCATTATGTATGCCATTTTATTTCTTCGTTACATGAAAGATTTTCTTTGCCAGTTCAATAAAAAAGATTTTCTTTGCAATAAAAAAATTGGAAGACTGATGAGAAAAACAAAGAGGGAGCAAGTTGTTACGAGCACAAAGCCTAATCCTATTTGTAGTATTCTAGGCGCCGGTCGACCCGCCCAAATTTCGGCCGGTCGCCGCGCGTCCGTATGATTGGCGTCCCTGCACCGTTGAATCCTCCATCGTCTCCTTCCTTGAGTACCATCAGGGCCGGCCGCCCCGGGCCCCCAAAGTCCAGGGGGCCCCACCAGGGGTATTTACCGAGGCTATTGGTGAGCAACAAGTCAAAGGCTGGGCTTCAGGTTGAGAAACAAGCAGCAGCACACACACACCGCACGCATAGGCCATA